CCCTAGGAAAAAAATCCCTATACATGAGCTAATCTCCCTGCCCACAGTGCTCCAGCAGCTGCTAGTCTGTTTTATCTACATGGCATTTCCTATCCTGAATGTGCCATGTATGCAGCTTTTCACTTACACTTTGGAGCTTTGTTTTTTCTTATTATTTTTTTATTTATAGGGTTTTTTGTGTGTATTTCATACAGAACATCCCAAACAATCTTACTCATCTTTATACCCACATCCCAAATGGCACTCTCCCATACTGCTGCCACCCCAGCTTTGTTTTTAAAAATGTTGACATGTTACGTGCTCTCTTTCTATATATGTATCACTGTGTTCTTTAAGTCACTGTTTGGCTGTTATGGATAATACTGCTAGAAACATTTTTTAAATCAAGTTTCTATGCAACATAATATTGCCTGGGGCGTTTTATTTGGGCACCTCTAGGAAACTAATAGTACTGTGTCCTTTCGTTAACATATAGTGCTTAGTATGGTAGTATGTTTGCTGGATTGGATATTCCTGGGGGTGAGTGTATGCAGTGTTATAATATTAAAATAGTACTTCTTATTCTAAACTTGGTAAATTAATACACTTTCATTGTTTCATGAAAACATCCAGAATATCACAGAATCAGGTCAACTACATTTTTTATTTTTTTTGTCTTTTTGAGACACGGTCTCCCTGTAGCCCCAGCTGGAACTCGATATGTAGACCAGGCTGGCTTGAACTCACTGAGATCAGCCTGCCTCTGCCTCCCCGATGCTGGAACTAAAGGCGGGTGCCATCACACCCGGCTCAACTGCATTTTAACTTAATAGTAACATAAAAGCATAACGTCATGGATGCCTTCCTGTGGTGATGACAGGATTTATAGGAAAACTTAAGTTAGAGGGTAGACCATTACAAAACTGGACAGATTTTTAATTTTAGCACTAAAGACCTAGTAAGAAGTGCTGGCATACTTAAAGATATCTCAAATTCCTGAAACATAAATCCTAAGGAAAATGTAAAACTTTCCCTGAAAGTATAAGAATTCCTTGAGGCTCCTGCTGGAGAAAAGCAAAGAACATAGCTAGTGTGTAACAATAAGCACTTACAACACTGAGTAGTAGCCAAATTGAGACAAAAGTAAACTTGGGATACTTCCGTGGTTTGCTGTATTTACCTGCTATTGCCTACAAATACAAAATTAAAAATAAGGAAAAATTGGTCATGAACCAACTTAATTTCTGAGTGTTCACATACACTCCCTTACCACTTCTAATCCATTGGTGCAATGCTGTGCTGTATTGGCATAGTGCCAGCACCTCTCCACCTTCTGCTTCTTCCCTTTTCAAGACCTCTCATTTATTGGTACCTGTGTCGTCCAGCATCATGTGCCCCTCTGACCATATTCTTGTAATTTGTTCTTTGCAGTTCTGTGAAAATTCTATTGTATTGAAAGCCATATATCTCATAAGGCAGTCTTCATCATCAGAGCTTATCTCATAAGCTTTTAGTGTGTACAAAACATTCTCACCCCAAAGCTTCTGTTTTTGCTTTTCTATTTTGCCTTGCTTGCCCCATGGTAGAGGTTTTCTTCCCATGTTTTGGAAGTATGCCCTTGAGGACCAGCAGTATAACAGCCGGTAAAGACATCTGCTGTGAAGCCTGGCAGCCTGAGTTCAATCCCTAGGACCCACATGGTAGAAAGACAGAACCAAGTCCTACAGGTTGTCCCCTGACCACCATCCACGTATTGTGGCATGTGCACATGTGGATGGATTTTTTTTTTAATTTTTTAATTCACAAAAGAAATAAACCAGACGTGGTGGTACATACCTTTAATCCCAGCAGGGGCAGGCAGATCTCTGTGAGATTGAGACAGCTTGGTCTACATAGTGAGTTCAGGCCAGCTGTGGCTACAGTTAGACCCTGTCTCAAAAGCCCAAAAGAGACAGAGAAAGTGGGGGGGGGGAGAGAGAGAGAGAGAGAGAGAGAGAGAGAGAGAGAGAGAGAGAGAGAATGCCTTGGATTTTAAGTTCTCCTGTGGGCTAACTTTAATTTTTAAATTCGTTTAAACTATGTGTATGAATGTGTGTCTATACAAGAGTGTGTGCACATAAGTGAAGTTGCCCACAGTGGTAGAAAGAGGGTGTCAGGTCCCCTGGAGCTAGAGTTACATACAGGTGGTTATGAGCCAGGCCTCTGAAAGAACAGTACATGCTCTAAGTGCTGAGCATCTTTGTAGTGTTGTATGTGTTTGTGCCACAGTGCTTGGAGATCAGAGGAAAGGAGTGGGTTCTTTCCTTCCACAATGTAGATCCCTGGGTTGAAGTCTTGGAGGCAGGTGCCTTTTACCCAATTAGCCATCTTTCCAGTTGTCTTTGTCTTATTTTAATGTCCCTTTTTTGTTAGAGTGCTATATATTACATTCTGTTCCAGTACCATAATAAATTGTCATGAAAACTTGCTAAATGAATTTCTTGTCCATTTCTTGTCATAGTCAGCTTTGCATGTGCTAATACCACTGGACTACAACCTTAGCTCCATTTCTTTTGACATCACTGTTTCTGCAAATTCCTTAATCATATGCAGCTTATAATGCTCTTTTTCCCACTGGAAATGCAATAAAGGCTTATAATCAAGTTTAACTCTTCATGTTAGGAGACTACTGTTGGGCTCTAAGTTACTTTCTCTTTTCTGTTTCAGATAAGCAGCTAACTGTTGGATCTCCACTACTGTCATCTCTAACCTCTTTATTGATATGCTGCTCCTTTTAGTGACTTGGTTGTACTGCGTTGGATTTTTTTTTTCTCACACATTTATAGATTGTGCTGCGATATTCTTACGGGAATTTGTGTGTGCATGTGTGATTAAGAAGGATCTGACTGTGCTGTCCAAACTAGCCTCGAATGCCTAGGCTCAAGTGATCTTTCCCCTCAGCTCGCAGGACCTGGCTCCTGATTGGTGTTTTGTTTTTAACTTTAAAAAATTTTTATTTATCTTTATTTTTGTGTGTATGCATGTATTGCCTGCATGTAGGTAAGTGCACCCATGTTGTGCAGTGCCCAAGGAAGACAGAAGAGGCTGTTGGATCCCCTAGGACTGGAGTTACAGACAAGTTGTTAGCTGCCATATAGGTGTTGGGATTCGAACCCAGGTCTTCTGCAAGAACAGCCAGTGTTAACCACTGAGCCATGTCTCCAGCCCTCCTGATTGGTTTTAATCTATCTTTTGAGCACCATACCCTCTTTTATTCCTCACTCCTTTTTCCTTCTTCCCTTCTTACCCTCTTCTGTAACTATTTCCTTAATAACATGCCTCTATTCTTTTTTTTCTCATACTTTTCAATACATGTTGCTTGCCTAAACAAGGAGTTCGGGTTTTTTATTTATTTTTAGTTCACTTTGAATTAACGTGGATGTGTCAATACGTTGAATGGTTTCATTAGTCTCTGGAAAGCCTAAGTGAGTTCTGTGATTTTTTTGTAGACCCGCCTTTCACTTTTCCCATTGTGTCTCAGGATTGGCTACTTTGGGCCCTGGGACATTATTCATTGTGGTGGTGCAGAAGATGGATTGAAAGTGATTTTGCTTTTAATTTTCTTAGTCTTGTTTTTGTTTTTCATTCTTTCTCTTAGAAAAGATCAAAGTAGGGGCTGGGGAAGTGGCTCCATGGTTAAGAGCACTTGTTGGTCTTACAGAGGACCTAAGTTCAGTGTTGACACTGAGATTGTATTATATTAGAGCTATTTTAGGTAACGGAAGCATTTTAGGCTTCTCCATTGGTCTGGAAAAAAAAAGTTAATGGTTGCTTAGCTTCTAAAAGATTTACTGCTCAGTAAGGGAAATGTTACCTTCATTGGCTTTTTCTTGCCTCAAAATTAGGCTTCAGATTTTGTGGACTGGAAAAGTTTTTTGCCATTCATCCCCAACCAAGAACTATGGCATAAGTAGTCTTTTTTTTTTTTTTTAAACTGAAAGAAAACACTAAACAAAACTATCAGTGCTGGGGCTGGAGAGATGGCTCAGTGGTTAAGAGCACTGACTGCTCTTGCAGAGGACCCAGGTTCAATTCCAGCACCCACATGGCGGCTACAGACTGTCCTTAACTCCAGTTCCAGGGGAATCTGAAGCCCTCTTCTGACCTCTGCGGCATTGCACAACACGGGTGCACTCACATACATGCAGGCAGTACACTCATACACAAAAAATGAAAATAAAAATTAAAAAAATTAAATTAAGGCCAGGCGTGGTGGCACACGCCTTTAATCCCAGCACTTAGGAGGCAGAAGCAGATGGATCTCTGAGTTCAAGGACAGCCTGGTCTACATAGTGAGTTCCAGGTCAGCTGGGGCTACAGGGAGACCCTGTCTCAAAAAGACCAAATTAATTAAATAAATAAATATTATCAATGCTAGAAAGGACTTCCCTCCCGGTTCTCCCCTTCTCCCCTCACTTTTTTTTGTTTCTTTGTTTTTGTTTTTTTCCTTTGTTGTTTTCGTTTTGTTTTTTGAAAAAAAAAAAAAAGGACATTTTAACACCTACTACAACCACCAGGGGTAGAAATAAAATTAAGAAAAACAGCCCCATCATACTGATAGACTTTCAAATTGGATACATTGAGCTTTAAGCATAATGTACTTTATGTTCCTCGTTTTAAAAATTTCTTGGCTACAAATTAATAAATCCTTTCTTATAGATGATATTTTAGAACTCCTGCTCAGTCCTTTTTCTTTAATGTGTATGCATGTATTGCCTGCTTGTAGGTAAGTGCACCTGTGTCGTGCAATGCCCACAGAGGTCAGAAGAGGCTGTCGGATCCCCTGGGACTGGAGTTACGGGCAGTTGTTAGCTGCCATGTGGGTGCTGGGATTTGAACCCAAGTCTTCTGCAAGAACAACCAGTGTTCTTAACCACTGAGCCAACTGTCCAGCTATATTTGATACCTTTTAAAAAATCGTTATGCCCTACCTGAATATGGTGAGTACCAAATACACTTTATGTCATCTGTTTTCTTACCAGTTCGGTCCTTTGGTACAGAAGACAGACCAACAGATCGTCCAATACCACCACGAGATGAAGTCTTCGAGTATATTATATTCCGGGGGAGTGATATTAAAGACCTCACTGTTTGTGAGCCACCAAAACCACAATGTTCTTTGCCTCAGGACCCAGCTATCGTTCAGGTAACGGAAAGTAAATTGCCTTGTAGTAGTACATTTCACACCTTACTAGCCTTGACTTTTGCCTTTTCTATAGAACATTCTTGTACCTTACTATTTAGAATTTACTTGGATACCTAAGTATCCAATGCTGGATAATGTTCTTACCTGGATTTCTTTTTGGATCATAAATTAGGACTAATGGAAGTCAGAAATAGCTGAAGAATTTAAAATTTTTTACAATGTTTTCTAAGTTCAGTGCCACTAGTTACAATAGCTAACACTTATTCAGAGCTAGCTCTATTTGAAGTGTGGTACCTGGGCTGGAGAGGGGGCTCAGTCAGGTAAGAGCTCCAGGTTCCTTTCCCAGCAGCACCCACAGGACCACTCATAGCTGCCAGTAACTCCAGCTGCAGGGGATCCAATACCCTCCTGCCCACCCTCCTGCAAGCATGTGGAACATGCACTCAGGCCAAACTCATACATGTAAAATAAAGAAATAAATCTTTTTTTCTAAAAAGTAATGAATGTTAAAATCAGAAACACTCATGTAAGTCAAAAGAATCTGTTCAACTTGATAACATAGTTTTTCTCACTTTTGTAATGAGGATTTGAAATGAATGCACAGTTTGAATGAACTCAAGTATCGTGATTCCAGAATCTAGGATCCTTGCTACTACACTGTTCAGGGAATGGTTCACATTACAAACCTGGGTGATAATACCTACCCTGAAATAAAATTATTAGGTTTAAGGGGGATGCTAAATCATGCTCTGTATTATAGAATACGCAATGATAGCACAAACAGAAGGATTTTAACATAGATAAATTGTCAAAATGCCTAATTTTAAAAACAGCCCTAAATATCCTTAGAGGAATTGAATATTTGCCTATTAAAAATAGAAGCACCTGCTGGGCAGAGTGGCCCACACCTGTAGTCTCAACACTTGGGAGGTAGAGACAGGAGGATCAGGAGTTCAGGGTCTTCTACTACATACTGTGTTTGAGAGCCAGCCTAGGTTGCCTAAGATCTTATGTGAAATAGAAAGGGGGATTGTGGTCTGATATTTCTCCTGAATTTCTTTTCTTTTTAATTTTTTTTTCTTGTCATACATCTTCATCATTTGCATTAAAATGATTGGTTTTTCAACAGGCTCAGGTGAATGGGGACATTTTAGTGTTTGACAAACTGCTCTCAAAATAATTTCCCTAAGGTATTTACTTCTATTTTAGGGAAATATCTTCTAAATAAATAAACCCTTCTAAAAAAGTAAGAGGCAAGGAACATAGTTCAAAGCCTTGGGCTCACTCTCCAGCACCGGGGCTGCAAGAAAAAAAAGAATGTGAAATAGATATACAAGTGAATACAGAGTAAAACACCTTGTGATACTCGTTTTGTTTTGTTTTTTCTGAATATAAAAGAAGCTTTTGCTGAGTGTAGTGGTGTGCACCTTTAATCCCAGCACTTGAGAGGCAGAGGCAGGTGGGTCTCTATGAGTTCCAGGCCTGCTGGGGCTACAGGGAGACCCTGTCTCAAAAAGACAAAAGAAATAGCTCCCTCTCCTGGCTCTGGAGTTACCTGACTTTCTTTCTCTTATATAGGTCATTCAGTTACTCTGGGAACCAGTTTGAGTAATCAGCTTTGGGGAACAGAAAAACTTAAGAGAACATAAATCAAAATGGTATAGAATGGCTTCTTCTAATCTTAAATCTTCACCTTGAATGTTTTATTTACTCATTCATCAGATTTTATTGAATACCTGACATGCTTGGTATTAACTGAGAACAAAAGATAAGAGCTGGGGCTGGAGAAATGGCTCAGTGGGTAAGAGCACTGGCTACTCTTGTTGGTTCCCAGCACCCACATGGTGGTAACAACCATCTGTAACTCTAGGTCCAGGGGATCTGATATCCTCTTCTTGCCTCCCTGGATATTACATGCTTGTGGTGCACTTACATATATATAGGCAAAACACCCATACACATTAAAATATAAGATGTAGTCCGGTAAGATGGCTCAAGCTTGAGGACGTGAGTTCAGTCCCCAGAACCCACAGAGTGGAAGGAAATAACTGACTTCCACAAGTTCTCTGACTTTTACATGTGTACCAAGGCACATACACTTACTATAGCCTTCAATATAATTCATATTTGTATTTTGAAATATTTTAAGACCAATTAATATAGAAGTGCTATGGTTTTTTTTTGTTTAGTAAGTTAAGATTATTAATGTGAAAAAGAAAGATTATTAATGTGTAGAAAAATATCATAAAAGGAGGAGAGATTTTATTTGGTTTACAATTTCAGAGGTTTTAGTCCTCTCTCTGCTAGATCTATTGTCTAGGAACTAAAGGGAGGCAGCATGTGTAGCAGAGGCTGTTTACTGCCTGAGGGCCAGGAAGCAGAGAAAACCCATCAGTGGTAGTGGGCTTCCCCTCTTTCCCTTTTGTTCCATCTGGGTCACAAGCTTATTGAATGGTGCCATCCACATTCAGGACAAATTCCGTTAATCATTCATTTCAGGAGAAAGCTTTCACAGACACGTGAAGTAATTTACTAATCTTGAGTATCTCTTAAAAGTCACATTGGCAAGATAAGCCATCAGTGTCTTATAAAATGTTCCTGGAATCTAGCTACATGTAAAATACAATGATGTTGGCTGGGCATGGTGGCGCACACCTGTAGTCCCAGCACTTGGGAGGCAGAGGCAGGTGGATCTCTGTGAGTTCAAGGCCAGCCAGGTCTATATAGTGAGTTCCAGGACAGTTGGGGCTACAGGAAGACCTTGCTTCAAAAAAAAAAGACAACAACAACAAAAAAATCCACAACGATGCTGTGTGTTTCTGTATCTCTTCCTGTGAATTTAACGGTAAGCCTCAAATGATTGAAAATGAGGAAAATTGCAAGTGAGAATTCTTTTTTGTGTTAATACCAGATTAAAGCCTATTAATCCTGAAAATGATTTTTCTTTAAACAGTTACTTTTTATAGTGAAGTCATTGTTCATTTATTTACTAAATCTGCTATAAACTTAAAAAGAGGAATTTATCATGGAGAAAGTGTTTATAAATAGCATTGAACGTGATTGGTGTATATAGACAAGTAAGAAATCAGATTGTTAGCTGTTGGAATAGTGAATACATACTATAGGTCATTGCAGTTGCTTTTGTATCTAATAGTTAAATTTGCACTTTTAAAACATGTTTTTTTTAAAAAAAAATACGGATCTCTATTACGTGCATGTTTCTTGGAATTTAGAAAAATAACCTGTGATTTTTCTTTCAGTCTTCACTAGGTTCATCATCATCTTCATTCCAATCAGTGAGTTCCTATGGACCTTTTGGCAGGATGCCAACATACAGCCAATTCAGTCCAAGTACATTAGTCGGGCAGCAGTTTGGTGCTGTAGGCGTTGGTATGTGGTGATCTTTTTCTTCTTTTTTTTTTTTTGGTCTTTTTTGAGACAGGATCTCCCTGTAGCCCCAGCTGTCCTGGAACTCACTATGTAGACCAGGCTGGCCTTGAACTCACAGAGATCCGCCTGCCTCTGCCTCCTGAATGCTGGAATTAAGGCGTGTGCCACCACACCTGGCTTCTTTTTATTAAGTCTCCGTTTCTTGACCACAAAGGTATAGAAAATTTACACAGACTTTGGGAAATGTTTGATCTGTCTTTTGTAACCTTGTTTTATGGTGTTAAGATTAAGCACATATAAGCTGGGCATATTGGTGCATGTCTGTAGTCTCAACACTTGGGAAATGGAGGCAGGATCAGAGAAATTCAAGATCTTTCAAGATCCTACAGGTTCAAGGCCAGCATGGGATACATGAGGCCTTGTCTCAAAAACATTTCATGCTCCTTTGCTCCTTAACTTTTTTTTTTTTTTTTAAAGTGTATTGCCTGGACTGTGTCATGCAGTGCCCTTGGAGATCAGAAGAGGGTATCTCAGATTCCCCTGGAAATGAACTGGAGTTACATATGGTTGTTAGCTACAATGTGGGTGCTAGAAATCAAACCCAGGTCCTCTGCAAGAGCAGCCAGTACTCTTAACCACTGAACCATCTCTTTCAGCCCCTATGCTCCTTAACCTATATCGTAGATAATGTGTTGAAAATGCATTTAATACATCTAACTTACCAAACCTATTATCTCTTGTTTGGGAAAACTAATCTAGCTTAAAACCTACTTTATCAAGCTAGGTATGGTGGCACATGCCTTTAATCCCAGCAGAGGTAGGGGGATCTCTATGAGTTGGAGGCCAGCCTGGTCTCCATGGTGAATCCAGGTCAGCTGTGGCTACAGGGAGACCCTGTCTCCAAAAGACCCCCCCCAAAAAAGCCTACTTTATCATAATGTGCTGAGGATTGGAAACATGATATCCAAAAAACACTGCCCTAGCCACATAGCACATGGTAGAGTGTGAGAAGTGTGCTCTTGTGATCACATGACTGACCAGAAATTGTAGATTACTGCTGGATCCAGCATCACAGAAGACTACCTTATTGCATATCTCTTGCCTGGGAAAAGATCAAAATTCAAAGAACAGTTTCTACTGAGCAAGCATGCTTTTTTTAATTGAAGTTTTGTATATTTCATACATAAATCATATTTATACTCCCTTTCCCTTTGACACCCTCCCATAGTGCCCCCCCCACGCAGACTTCATACATTCTGTCATTTGTATTAAGGTCTATTTTGTAAAGTTAGTGTCCCAAGAAGTCCCTCAGTCCAAGTTCATCCACCAGTGTTTAGTCAGCCTATCTAGAGTTCCCTACCTTTAAGACGATTTGCTCTTCCTCACCCAGTAGTAATCAGCTGCTGATAATTCTTCAACTAAGACTGGAACTTGCTGTTTATTTCCACAGTTCTGTGCTGGGTTTTTATTTGCCTGAGTTTGCATGGGTCTTGTGTATGCTGACACCATTGCCATAGGGTTACATGAGAAGGGTCCCTGGCACCTCTAGGACTATTTCTGTATGGTCTTGCACCTCCTCTCTGGTTCTTACAATCTTTCTACCACCTCTTCTGCAATGGTCCCTGAGCCCTGGGTGTGTGGACCTCAATATAGGAGACCTGTCCAAGGACCCACACTTTGCTGGCTCTTATTTTCTGTGTTTTAAACATTTGTGGCCTTTTGCATTCCTGGCCCTCTGTTGCATGAGGGGGCTTTATTGATGAGAATTGAAAGATCCATTAGTGTTCTCTTCATCCCTTCTATGTTCTGTGAGTCTTAGGTATAGAGGTTGCATCCTAAATGTGCCACTTAGGCTTGGACAGTTCACAGAGAATCACCGTATGTGACCAGTGGTGTAACTCTATAATCTCTGTTGAAAAAGAAGCTGCTTTGATGGATGGTGACTGGGATACTTGTCTGTAAATTTAAGGATCCATTATTTTGCAAGTAGTAAGAAATTAGATTTGTCTAAGGATATGAGAACCTTAGGTTTTCTCTAAGATCTATGACCTTTCCAGCTATGTGTATTTGGCTAGTTAGTACCAGACATCAGTTTCCTCCCATTGAGTGGACTTTAAGTCCAATTAGGTAGCTGTTGGTTGCCCCAAGATAAAAGTGCCACTATTGCACCAATGTCATTTGCTGTGCTGGTCATTGGTATGGTTTTTAAGCTAGGGTTGAACGATCGATGGATATACCAGACAAGCATGCTTTTATACTATCATAAAGTAGAAAAAGTGTAGGTCAAACCATCATAAATTGGACTCCAGGTATAGTATTAATATAAACAGTTCATTTGCCAATTTTTTCATTGTATTACATCGGTGTATTTCACTATATTACATTATAGTAGGAGCTTCTAGAAATAGTTGGAAAAATTAGCAGCTAAACACAAAATTGAGTAAGAGTTTGAACATAACTAAAAAAAAACTTTGCCCAGGACTGAAGAGTTAGCTCACTCGATAAAGAGATTGTAGGGCAAGCATGACAACCTGAGTTTAGGTGTCCAGTACTAACATAAACACCAAACACAGCAGTAAGGAAGTGGGAGGACTGAAGCAGAGAACAGCCGAACCCTAGAGCCTGCTGGTCAACGAGTCTAAACAAATAGGTGAACTCCAGGTTCAGTGTATTTATTTATTTGTCATGTTGTGTATAGCTGATTTTTGCACTACAAGGGCAAAGTTGTATAGTCATCACTGGAATCATATGACCTGCAAAGTTTCTACTTTATTTTTCACCTGTCTACAGAAAAAAATTGCTAACTGATCTGGAATAGATAATTGAGTATATAACACAATGCTGCTTATAGTGCTACTACCAATGAACATGACGTACCCAGGAATGAATATAATGAAAAATACCTGAAAAATTTGTCGTAGTTGTTCTCACTGGGAAGGGGCAATTTAGCCATGTCCCTGGAAGACATTTGGCAATGAAGGGCTTGGAGACATTTGGGGCTGTTAAAATTGAACCTGTATTGGTATATAGTGGGTAGTGGCCAGGGATGCTAGGACAGCCTCTGACAGCAAAGAATTCTCTGACCCAAAGTATAATTTATGCTGAAGTTGAAGTAATCCTGTTCTACAGAGACCCACAGAATTGCTGAGAGATTAAAGCTCTAAATAAATGGAGAGTTAATCCATGCTTATGGGTTGAGAAAGTCAAAACATTTCAGATAAAACATTCTCCTAATTGATTCACAGATTAAATGTAATTCAAGTTTAAAAATGCCATCAAACTTTTAAATGAAAAAGTTTGAGGTTTATACTACCCAAATTCAAGACTTTTAAAGACTGAATAATTAGAACTGTGACAAATATGGATGAATATAGAGACTGTAGAAGAGATTTATTTCCCACAACGGTACCAATACAGCTCAGTGGCAATAGAAGTACCATTTTAACAGATAGTATAGAGCAGCTAAATACTGTATAGAAAATGAAGAAGACTGACTTGAGTGTACCAGGGTTGGGGCTGCTTTCACTATGTGAGACACTGCTCTGTTCTGATGCCCCATTTTAAGAGAGTTTGGAAGACGAATTCATTTAATTAAAGGAGGGGGGGCAGGAAACAAAGTGTCCTAAAGACCATGATGGAAATGGTTAGAAATGAAGAACTAGAATGATCCACCCTGGAAATGAATAAGAGCAAAGTATAAAACTGCTTCTGTAGGCTAGAGGAGTTCAAAGAAGGAAAGTGGTAGAAGAGGAACCAGGTAAGGGGAGGGCTTTTTAAACACAGGAGTTTAAACCTTTTTTTGGGGGACACTGGAAGCTGTTAGAGGGTGTTAAGCACTATATAAAGTGACTGTATTTTTGTTTGTTTTGTGGTTTTTTTTTTTTTGGTCTTTTTGAGACAAGGTCTCCCTGTAGCCCCAGCTGTCCTGGAACTCACTATGTAGACCAGGCCGGCCTTGAATTTACAGAGATCTGCCTACCTCTGCCTCCCAGTGCTGGGATTAAAGGCATGCACCACCACGCCCAGTGGGAATAGAGATTATTGAAATAGAAAAACACCTTCATGGATGGAATAAAGAAAGAGAGCGCAGTATCAAAAATGGCACTGACCCACGATTCTACAGAAGCTTAGAGATTGCCAAGATGGAGGACGGCACAGAACTGAGTCCTTCTCAGGCACTTTGTTACTTGCACTTCCCACTTTTTTGTGGTTGCTTTGACAGAGTACAACTCCACATTTCCCTCCTGGTAAGGGTTGGAGGCAGAGTCTTATTGTTTACTTCCTTTGAAATAGTGGAAAGCTAGCAGAGTTGTCTGCAGATGGATCTGTTTGTGCAGATCTTAGGATAATTGAAACTAATGTTGGTGTCTAATGTATTTTTTCTGCTTTTTCACTATCTGACATGTGTGCCTGTTATAGCAAGGGCCTGGGACAGTTCTCATGTATTACAGAAATTGCTTTAAGGATACAGGACTATATAGTCCCCATTTTTTCACCCTGTATTACCATATGTTTCCCAAATTATTTGATATAATCTTATTTCCAGGATTATTACTTTGCAAAAGTACTCTGGGAAGGGGAAAGTCAGCTGTCAATAAAATGTTGATCTTTTTTAAAAACTTTTCAAGCTGGGAGCTCCTTGACATCCTTCGGAACAGAAACGTCAAACAGTGGTACCTTATCCCAAAGTAGTGCGGTTGGTTCTGCCTTCACACAGGACACGCGATCCATAAAAACACAGTTATCTCAGGGTAAGTTTTTTCTTTTTTCCTTCAAATACTTTCATCCTAAACCTTTATGGTAGTTGTCTTTCTCTGAAAGTTAATACATGTATCATTTCTGTTTGGTTCTTAAATTTTTTGGTTCTGAAAGAGGAGTCTTACTGTTTAGTTCATGCTAGCATCTAACTCAGTATTCCTGCCTCAGCCTCTGAGTTGCTGGGACGACAGATGTTTACTGCCACACCTGGCTAGGTTCTTTTAAGAAGTTTTTTTTCTCTCTCAGTTACTACATTGCAATAATGTACTATTGAATGACTTCCACTATATATTTCTCTCTTTTTTTAATATTTTATTTTTATTTTATGTGTATGCGTGTATTGCCTGCATGTAGGTAAGTGCACCCGTGTCGTGCAACGCAGTGCCCTTGGAAGACAGAAGAGCCTATCAGATCCCCTGGAATTGGAGTTACGAACAGTTGTTAGCTGTCATGTGGGTGCTGGGATTCGAACCCAGGTCTTCTGCAAGGACAGTCAGTGTTCTTAACCACTGAGCCGTCTCTCCAGCCCCAACTTCCACTATATGTTTCAACCTTTTTGTTTCATTTTGGTTTTTCTTTTTTGGTCTTTTTGAGACAGGGTCTCCTTGCAGCCCCAGCTGGTCTGGCACTCACTATGTAGACCAGGCTGGCCTTGATCTAACAGATGTGGGAGGAGGATAGGAGAGAGTAATGGAGAATGAATATGATCAATACATTGTACCTATGTATGAAATTGTTCCAAAAAGACATACATGCCTTTAATCCCAGCACTACAGGAGGTAGAGGCAGGCAGATCTCTGTGAGATCAAGGCCAGCCTGGTCTACATAGTTCCAGGCCAGCTCCGGCTACAGGGAAATCTTGTCTCAAAAACTGAAAAAATTATTTTTCTATACATTGGGTAATTCCTACTTCATCTTTAAATTTTAGGCCCATATTGGGCTGCAATATAGACTGTCAAAAACTTTCTTTTCCCTACATGTTGAGCATTCTGTTTGACATGTGTTTGCAAAGTATATCAGATCAGGCCTAGACTCACCACTGAAAGTGAGCTAAGCTAGGTGAATTTGAAAGTCATCTAAAGAAGTAAACTGTTAATTATGTATGCTTTTGAATCTTTCTTAACATCCTCACAGATGTTAATTCTGTGGATCACCCACAAGAGTCATCTGGAGTGCTTCTGACTGTGCCTGTCCTAATTGAAACCTAGTATATTAGCCCTAGAACTTGGGGCCTTAACTTTCGCGGGGGGCTTTTTGAGCCAAAATCTCCCTGTTAGCCCCCGCTGGCCTGGAACTCACTGTATAGACCAGGCTGGCCTTGAACACCCAGAAATCTGCCTGCCTCTGCCTTCCAAGTGCTGGGGTTAAAGGCATGTGCCACCATGCCCAGCCTCTGTTGTGGGTTTTTTTGTTTGTTTTTTTTTTTTAATCTATATCTGGTGTCCCCATTGGTTTTTTTTTGTTGTTGGTTGGTTGTTTTTTGTTTGTTTTGTTTCGTTTGAGACAGGGTCTCCTAGTAGCCCCAGCTGGCCTGGAACTCACTTTGTAGACCAGGCTGGCCTCGAACTCAAAGAGAATCACCTGCCTCTGCCTCCCAAGTGCTGGGATTAAAGATGTGCACCACCACACCCGGCTGGTGTGCCCACTATTAAAGTGATATGATTTGTTCATTTCAGAAAGATGGTATAGTCAATATTTTTGAAAGCTGACTAGTATAAAACTCAAGTCAAGCCAGGAGTTGGTGGCACATGTTTTTAATCCCAACATTTGGGAAGCAGAGGCAGGCAGATCTCTGTAAGATTAAGGCCAACCTGGTCTACATAAGTGAGTTCCAGGCCAGCTGGGGCTACCAGAAGACTGTCTCAAAAATAAAATGGATGGATGGATTCATAGATAGATGACAGACAGACAGACAGACAGACAGACAGACAGAGCCAATGCCAAGCACAATTATATGCCATTATGTATACCTTAAAATAGTTGAGGCCAACTGTCATTCAGACTGATTTTAAATGTCTTTAGGGCTGGAGAAATGATTCCCCAGTTACAAGCAAGCAGTACCCTTGCAGAGAATGCATGTTGGGTTCCCAACACATACATAAGGTGGCTCACAGCTACTTGTAACTCCAGCTTGAAGGGGGGATCCTTTGCGTCTACACACACATACCCATACCCACACAGATACACATACATTTTTTTTTTAATTTACATTTTGTTGGGACTGGAGAAATGGCTCAGTGGTTAAGAGCATTGACTGCTCTTGCAGAAGACCTGGGTTCAGTTCCCAGCACCAAAGTTTCTAGGCTCATAAAAGGTCTTTGTTGCTTTGTTATAAATGTGAGACTATGAGACTTCACAGTCTCTCTTTACTGAAAAAATACTTTATCTAAGCCTTCATTTCCTAAATTATAAAGTGGGACTTTCCTGGTGATCCACCAGATTTCCTGTAAGAATCAAAAATTTTTTAAATGCCTCAGTGTTCTAACATTATTCCATTATTTTTTTAAATGCCTCAGTGGTGTCTTAACTTTCCTGGTAAATGGTCATATTTTAACATGTAGCCAACATCAGATTTAATATCAAAGCCACAGAAGAATTTTTGTTAATGTCATAGATATAGATACCTCCTCACTGCTACTCAGCCTCATTCTGGAGTTTTTAGCTAGACCAGGAACACATGAGGAGATGGATAAGAGGCAATGTGTTTAACATTGTTTTACCAATGATAGTTTTCTACTTGAAATTCAGAATTCTCAGAAATGCTTGGAACTAAGAAGGGACTTAATTGGGCAAAGGCAAAATATAAAGTAAATGTAGAAAAGTCAATAGTTGTGCTATAGTGGGGTTAAAAGAAAAGGCTCAGCCAGGTGTGCTGGTACATGACTTTAATCGCAGCACTGGGGAGGCAGAGGCAGGCAGATCTCTGTGAGAACCAGGCCAGTCTGGACTACGTAGCGATTTCCAGGCTAGCTGGGGCTATGGGGAGACCAAGTCTCAGAAGAAAAAGAAAAAAATTAATAAGAAGTAGAAATTATATATCAAGTACACAGGTATGAGAGGAACACTAAAAAACGTAATAGTTTCATACGAAAGAGAGATAATACCATATTCGTAGATTTAAAAGGTTCAGTATTCAGAAAACTGGCGTTGCTTAAATCTATTTAAATAAACGGGATAGTAGAAAAATTTCATAAAACAGATTATCTTTAAAATAGTGAGTTGGGCATGGTGGTGCACGCCTTTAATCCCAGCATTTGGGAGGCAGAGGCAGGCAGAGCTCTGAGTTCAAGACCAGCCTGGTCTACATAGTGAGCTCTAGGACAGCTGGGGCTACAGGAAGCCCCTGTCTCAAAAAGACCAAAAAAAAAATTAAATTAAATAAAAATAAATAAACAGTCATGTTTGAGAGATGACTTGGCGGTTAAGAGTGCTGACTGTTCTTGCAGAGGACCTGAGTTCAGTTCACAGCACCCACATGGTGGCTAACAACTCTATGAAACTGCAGTTCCAGGGCATCTGACGCCCCTTCTGACCACATCTGGCATTACGTTACATGACACAGGTGCATTAACACACACAGGCAATACACTAATACACATAAAACAAAAATAATAAAAATATTTTAGTAACAAACCATGTGAAACTTAACTCTGTGATAAGAACATGGTAGTCCCTCAAAAAGAGATTTTACTGAAACGTTTTCTTGATTTATTTCCAATACTTGCTTGGTGTCACCTGTACTTCCCTATTTATAATTGATACCATGGTTAGTAGCCTGCTGCTAGTTTAAAAAAAAAAAGGAAGAGGGGGCTGGAGAGATGGCTCAGCAGTTAAGAACACTGACTATTGCAGAGGACCCAAGTTTGAGTCCTAGCACCCACATGGCAGCTAGCAACTGTCCATAACTCCAGTTCCAAGGGATCCGACAGCCTCTTCTGTCCTCCACGGGCATTGCACAGCACCAGTGCATTTACCTGCATGAAGGCATAACACTCATAAATTTTTTTTTAATTTAAATAAAAAAGGAAGGAGCTGGGCGTGGTAGGGAGGCAGGGGCAGGTGGATGTCTGTGAGTTCCAGGCTAGCTAGGGCTACAAGGAGACCCTGTCTCAAAAAGACCAAAAAGAAAAAGGAAGGAAGGAAGAAATTTTAGTTATACAACCAAGTATGCTGGGTAGATGTCTCTTATAACCTTTAGGTATTTAGGCAATTAAATATCAAAACTAAAAGACCAGCAACAGATAAACCCTTGTGATAATTACACAGTAGCCACTTTCTTTTCTGGTCATTTTAAAGCTCTCTTTCCAGGTTTCTGCTTTATATGGATTTTTTCCTTGTATGAGATCAGAATCTGGTCAAACTATGAACTGAAACCAAAACATTGCATGCTCCAGCCGTGCTTGGACTTGGGGACTTGAAATTTAGCTCAGTTCTTGCCTAGCAGGTGCAAAGCCCTGGGTTTTGTCCTCAGCTCTAGGTGGGAAAAAGTCTTCATATTATACAAAAACATTCCCAGATATGCTACTGCCTGTGTCTGAATATACTCAAAGAACTGGGAAGAGCTGAGTGCTGGCAATGCACTCGTTACTGAATACTCAAGATATCCAGGGAGTTTTTAGTAATATTCTCCAGGTCATCTGAAGTACGCAGTTACATCCAGTCATTAATGACCAAGTTACTCTAGCAAAAAAATGTTACCAGTAAAATATCAAAAGTTAAACCATTAATAGAAACACCACAGTTTTTCATTATTTATGGTTTATTTTAGCTGATGGGAAAAAAAATTTACAGTCACATAAAGGAAGTGTTTAAGAATTGTTTGAGGGATTAGAGAGGTGGCTCATCAGTTAAAAGCACTGACTGCTCTTACAGAAGACCCCAACTTTATATCCCAGCACCTACATGGTGTCTGTCTATAACTCCAGTTCCAGTGGATCCAACACCCTCTTCTGGCCTTTACAGGCATTGCATACATGTGGTACACTGACATACATGCAGGCAAAGCACAAACTAAGATTTTAAAAACAACCATTAAGTGAATGCCAGGCATTGTGGTATATGCCTGTAATCCTAGCACTCAGGAGATGGAGGCAGAAGGATCAAGAGTTCAGTGCCAACTTGGGCTACCTGAAACCTTGTCTCAAAACAAAAAAAAAGTTCAAGTGTCACTATAATCCTGTGATGGTTGTGTTTGGGGAGAGCCTCTATTTTACCTGCCTACACTTATCTTTGATATTTCTAGAGACTTGTACCAGGTAGCAAATTTTGAAAAGGTTTAAATAGAAACACTGATAAAGTTGTGACAGTGGAGTTTTTGGTTCCCCCCGCCCCCAGCTTAATAACCAGCTCACTAAAGATAACCAAGTTTAAACACTGGTTAAATAAAATTAATTCGGCTTTGCTAAGGATTTGAGTTGGTAAAAATAAAACTCTAGACATTTTTAAGTGTCTAAATAGTTTTGAAATCCCCGGTTAGGGTAGTTTATTTTCTTTTGGTTACATTTTAGGTCGATCAAGCCCTCAGTTAGACCCTTTGAGAAAAAGCCCAACCATGGAACAAGCAGTACAGACCGCCTCGGCCCACTTACCTGCTCCAGCACCTGTTGGGAGAAGGAGCCCAGTATCAACCAGGCCTTTGCCATCTACCAGCCAGAAAGCAATAGAGAACCAAGAGCACAGGCGAGGTAGAACTTGAGCTGTTTACTGTTCCTGAATTCACTGATCATTTTCCATCTCCTTATTTCATTAAGAGGGCATACTTTATGTGAACGATCCTAGGTTTGAGCTGAACTTTAATAGAGGGTTCAGTCTCTCAAATTTGATTTGAAGTGCTAATGGGGGTGTGTATTTGGGGGGGGTATTGCACAGGTGTTATCTTGTCATCTCTCACATTCGAACTTTGCAGAAGTATTTGGTTATGTATCCTGAGTTGATTTTTTTTTTACTTTGCGTGTCTCCTATAGCTGAAGTGCATAAAGTCTCAAGACCAGAAAATGAGCAACTCAGAAATGATAGCAAGAGACAAGTAGGTAAGTTACCTGGCTTGGAAAGCCATATCGTATGCTTCTCAGTAAGGAAGCCATTTCAGATGTGTGCACGATGCATAGATGCTAGGAAAAAAAGGTGGGAGTTAACTACAAAGGACTAGCCACAAGGGAGGAACTTTGGTGCATCTACTTACGCGGTAAGAAGTAATTAAATTCTGTCATTGTTAATTTCCTGGTTTTGTTAGTGTACAGTAGTTAAGATGTTACCATTGGGAAGCTTGGTACTAAGTACAAAGCACCACTGTGTTCTTTTTTTCATTTTCTTCTATCTATGTTAAATTTATTACAGTTTTTCTACTTCTCTGGAAAAGACTATTACTCAATGCATGTGCATGCATATTTCTGTGAGTTTATGCAGGCACAAATACATGTGCACACATATGTGGGTAAAAGTCAAGAACAGTATTGGTGTCTCACTTGATCGCTCTCCACTTGGTTTTTTAGGAAAGAATCTCACTGATTGATCTAGGCAGGCTAGCTAGTGAGCTCCAGGAATCCACCTGTATTTACTTCCCAGTGCTGAGCTTACAGTCATGCACTGCCATGCTGGGCTTATAAATGTATATTGGGAATTGAACTAGGATCCCTATGCTTATATATACAGGGTAAGGATTTGTGTGTGTGTGCTTGTGCACACACATGGTGGAGGCTAGAATTTAACATTGGGTGTCTTCCGCACTCTCCAACTTATATATCGAGGTGGGTTCTCTCACTTGAACCCTGAGCTTAATTTGGCTAGTCTAGCTAAGCAGCTTGCTCTGGGGATCCCCCTCTGACTACTTCTCAAACACTGGGATCACAGGGCGCTTCTATGCCCACCAGTATTTACTGGGTGCTATGGATCTGAACTCCAGCCCTCTTGTTTGCATGACAAGTGCTTTACCCACTGGGACATTTCCCTAGACCTTATAATATATTCTCATTCTCTCTCTCTCTCCCTCCCTCCCTCCCTCCCTCCCTCTCTCCCTCTCTCAATTTTTATTTATTTATTTTTTAATTTTATGTATATGAGTGTATTGTCTGCATGTATGTGAGTGCACGCACCTGTGTTGTACATTGCCTTGGAGGTCAGAAGCAGGCTTTGGATTCCCCAGGAACTCAAGTTAAGGATGGTTCATAGCCACCATGTGAATACTGGGAATCAAACCTGGGTCCTCTGTAAGAGCAGTCAGTGCCCTTAACCACTGAGCCATCTCTCCAGCCCCTTTTTTGGTCTTTTTAAGACGCTTTCTCCCTGTAGCCCCAGCTGGCCTGGAACTTGATATGTAGACCAGGCTGGCCTGCAACTCACAAAGATCATCTGCCTGCCTCTGCCTCTGGAGTGCTAGGACTAAAGGCATGTGCCACCATGCCTGGCATATTATCTTCTTTTAAAGATTTATATGTATATGTGTATAAGTATTTTACCTGGGTTTATATATGTACACCACATGCATGCAGGCATTCTTGCAGGACAAAAGAAGGTGTTGAGTCCCCTGGAGTGGGATTATGTGCTACCATGTGCATACTGATAACCAAATTTGGGTCCCTTGTAAGAGCAGCAAGTGCCTTTAATTGCTGAGCCATCTGTCTCTAGTCCCTACAATACATTCTTGAATGTTGCCTGATAGTAGAATTTAGCCTTTATATTTAGTACATGATTCCATGGCTTCCTTGTTTGTGTTTATCTTTTTGCATCAATTTCTTGTTTAACATTATAAATTTAATTGTTAGCCGGGTGTGGTAGTGCATGCCTTTAGTCCCAACTCTGTGAGTTCAAGGCCGGCCTGGTCTACATAGTGAGTTCTAGGACAGCTAAGGCTACAGGGAGACCCTGTCTGAAAAAGACCAAAAAAGAAAGAAAAGAAAAGAAAAGAAAAGAAAAGAAAGAAAGAAAGAAAGAAAGAAAGAGAAAGAGAAAGAGAAAGAAATTTAATTGTTTTGGGTTTTTTTTTAATCTATAAGGGAGATAGAGATACGACTTAACAGTTAAGAGTACTTGCTGCTCTTCTAGAGGACAAGAGTTGGATTTGTAGCACCTATGTTGGGCAGCTCACAACCTCTCTCCAGCTCCAGAGAACCTAAGATCCTCCTCTGGCCTCCACAGGCATTTTACACCGATGGTGGACTGATAATACAGGAAACAAATCTTTAAGCAATTATTCAAAGTCATAAATAAAACTTCAAAACTCACCACCTGGTTTGGAGCTACCATTCAGTGGTAGAGTGCTTACCTAGCATCCAGGATAACTGACATTCAGTCTTAAGTACCTAAAAAAGAAAAGGTAACAACAACAAAAAAAACCTTACCACTCTGCTCTACCACCAAGGATCATTAGCAGACCAGAGAAATTATTGCATATTATTTTCTTGAATTTTACAGGCATAGATATTTATATGCAGAGCTTTTCTTAGGGTGCTGGGGTTACAGGTATTCATCACCATGCCTGACTCTATATTCTGTTTTTTTTTTTCCTCTTATTTTTATTTTGTGTATCTTGAGTGTATTGCCTGTATGTTAAGTGTACCTGTGTTGTGCATTACCTGCAGAAGTTATAAGCGAGTACCAGATCCCCTGGAACTGAAGTTATAGATGGTTGTTAGCCGCCATGTAGATGCTGGGAATCACACCCTGGTCCTCTGCAAGAGCAGTCCATGCTCTTAACTCCTGAGCCATCTCTTCAGCCCCCCAAGTGTTGACCATTTCTTAAAAGACCAAGTAACAACTTATATCCTAAACCAGCAGTTATATACTGAATGCGTGTTATAAATATTCTTTACTAATGTAGTTCCAGGTGTTCCTTCCACTCCAAGGAGAGGACGTGGGGGTCATCGAGGTGGCAGGGGAAGATTTGGTATTCGGCGAGATGGTCCTATGAAATTTGAGAAAGACTTTGACTTTGAAAGTGCAAATGCACAATTTAACAAGGAGGAAATTGACAGAGAGTTTCATAATAAACTTAAATTAAAAGGTAAGTTTTGATTTTCCTACTCAGAAAATAATCTAATTTGATCTGTGATTTTACAGCTTAAATGTTTAATTTCATTGAGAATGAGTCTTAACTTTTACCATGTTTCTTGTTAGAAGATAAACTCGAGAAACAAGAGAAGCCTGTAAATGGTGAAGATAAAGGAGACTCCGGAGTTGATACCCAAAACAGTGAAGGAAATGCTGATGAAGAAGATCCCCTTGGGCCTAATTGCTATTATGACAAAACTAAGTCCTTCTTTGATAATATTTCTTGTGATGATAATAGGTACTGTCTTTTTGTTTTGTTTTTATTGAATTTTTGTGTGTTATACAGAAATATTTCAAAGAATCTTAATCATTTTTATACCCCCATCCCCACAGCATACTCCCATAGCCCCCCCCCCCAACTGGAACCCATTTCTCCCGTCATCCCTGTAAGGGCCCGGTGTTCAAGTCAGTGTCCCTAGACGTTCCCCTGTGCAAGTCCATCCACTGAGGTCTAGTCAGCCTGTCTAGAGTCTCTTGTTTTAGGAAGATCAGCTCTTCCTCACCCAGCAGTAATCAGCTGCCAATGTTTCCTCAGCTAAGATTGGGGTCTACTGTTCATTTCCCCAGTTCTATGCAGGGTTTTTGTCTGCCTGAGTTTGCATGGGACTTGTGTATGCTGACACCATTGTCATAGAATCACATGAGCAGGGTCCCAGGAGCTTGTAGAACTCTTGTTTCCATATGGTCATGCACCTCCCTCCCTGGCTCTTACAATCTTTCTGTCCCCTCTTCTTCAATGGTTCCTGAGCCCTGGGTAAGTGAAGTTTAATATAGGAGTCCTGTCCATGGACCAGCAATCTGCAAACTCTTAATCTCTATGTTTTGGCCATTTGTAACCTTTTGTGTTCCTGTATGCTCTCAGTATATTGAAATACAAAATGATTTCATGAACAGTCATAAGATTTAATGAATATTTCAAAATATCTAATGATGCTTGAATATGGTGGCACACACCTTTAATCCCAGCACTTGGGAGACTGATCTCTGAGTTCAAGGGTTCAATTCCCAGCATCTACCTGGTAGCTAACAACAGTCTTAAGCCCAGTTCCACTGGATCCAACACCCTCTTCTGACCCCCATAGGCATTGCACTACATGGGTGCATTTATATACATGCAAGCAATATACTCATTCAAATAAAATTTAAAAATAATAATTTTTAAAAGGACAATTAAGGGAATCCGTTATGTAGATTCCATCATGTAGGTTCCTGGGATTAGACTCAGTTCCTGAGCCTTGGTGGTGAGCACCTTTACCACTGAGTTACTTCACCCACCCAGATTTTAAAATTGTCTTCTTTCATAGCTCAGTGGAGGAATACTTGCCTGGCATGTGCAAAGCCCTCAGTTTGATCCTAGTAACACAAAAATCAAAAAGGGATCATAGATTTTTAACCTGTAATCCCAGCACTTAGAACGTTGAGGAGAGGAGGATCTAAGGTCCAAGTCATCTTTGGGTACATAGCAAGTTCAAGGCAAGCCTGGGTTATGTGAGACCCTGTCTTTTTAAAAAAATTTATATGCTTTTGTAAATGTTAAGTAGAAGCAGTGATAGAATATGTAAAACTTTTCTGTTACCTGTCTACATTGTAATTCAGTTGAAGCCAGAAGAGGCAAAATGCTTCTTGGATGTTGGCTGATAGAGTAACACTCCGCCACATTATAGTAAAGATGTGACCAGAAAATTATCAGATTATTGTATGTAAAAGTCCTCAGCATAATGAACTCACAGAGTTGCAGGTTCTGCTCCAGAGTTGCAGTTCTGCTCACAGGTTCCCATCATCTTTGTGTTCACTGCAGTTTGGTGCCACCTGGTGGTGAGGTGTTTTTGTTTTTGGCCTTTTTGAGACAGGGCCTCCCTGTAGCCCAACTGACCTGGAATTAGCTATATAGACCAGACTGGCCTTGAACTCACAAGAAATATGCCTGCCTCTGCTTCCACCTCCTGAGTGCTGGGATCAAAGGTGTGCACCACCACACCTGGTTGTGGCTTCATTTTAAGCAAAGGATAGGGAGTCCTAAGTCCTGCAAGGTTGGATGACAGGTGTAGCGGTGCAGATACTTGCTAGGTTAATTTGCATCAGATCCAGAGATTGCACTAGGATGCTGGAGACCTGTTGTCCTGTATCTCCTAGCATTCCTAAACCAGGGGTTTCCTGCCAATTTCTGTGGTCTTTCATTGAGCTTAGTGGAGTCAGTTGCAAATCCTCTTATGTCTTAATTACCTTTATAGTAAAACTTTGTTTTATCAATTCTGTTTACAAGAAACTAGTCTCAGTCATAGTTTCAAATAACAAAACAAAATACTGTAGGCACATAAAGAACTTGCCCTGGACAGATTGGAATAGCCTATACTAAATGCTTAGTAATTGATCTTTAGGAATTAATTAAATGTATCCTGAATATGGAAGTTAATACTACATATTTTTGCAGGAAGCCATTATTTATTAGCTGACATTCATTTGCTTTTATAACAGGGAACGGAGACCAACCTGGGCTGAAGAAAGAAGGTTAAATGCTGAAACATTTGGAATCCCTCTTCGTCCAAACCGTAGTCGTGGGGGATACAGAGGCAGAGGTGGCCTTGGTTTCCGTGGTGGCAGAGGGCGTGGTAGTGGCCGAGGAGGGACATTTGCTGCCCCTAGAGGATTTCGTGGTGGATTCAGAGGAAGTCGTGGAGGCAGGGAATTTGCAGATTTTGAATATAGGGTAAGTGTTGTTACTTGCTCTGGGGTTGGTGTTTCAGTCTGTAAGCTTGGAACATTTTACTTTCAATTTTTTGGCTGAATTATTTTGAGAGCATTAGAATAACTTTCAGTTTAACTTTTCTTGGAAAATATACCTGATTAGAACATTTGTTTTTAATTTTAAAGGCCTGTAACTTCTTGGCTAATAAGTTTTTTTTTAAAGTTTTTTTCTTAACTGCTTTTTGGTTTTTGTTTTTTTCCTTTGAAGGGAAGTGTAGTCTATGAGTGCACTGTGCACTGCAAGAAAGCAGCAGGCTAACTGGAAACTCAAGTACTGCCTGCAGCCAAGCTGTTCTTTTCAGTTGAAGAAAGTAGGAAATGGGAATGTTGATTTTGTCTTTTTGAGGCAAGATCTCCCTGTAGCCCCAGCTGTCCTGGAACTCACTATGTAGACCAGGCTGGCCTTGAACTCACAGAGATCGCCTGCCTCTGCCTCCCAAGTGCTGGGATTAAAGGCGTGCACCACCACGCCCAGCTCATATTATAGAATATTTACACCTTTAACAACAAAAGAATACAAGGTGAAAACTTCCCAAGAAGCAAAGCAAGACTCTGCATCTGATCATAGTATTTACATACTATTAGTGAGTGCCAGGCATTGTCATAAATGTTTTTTACATATTAACTCATTTAATCCTCACTTCAGTTCTGTGAGGTAGGTTCTGTTATTATCCAAAATTTACAAATGAGAAAAGAGATCTATAACTTGTCAAGGTCACAGAACTAGCAAGTGACTTTACTGAGTATTGAGACTAGCAGCTTGGCTCCTGAGTCACTGCTCTTATTTTAGATTTGTGGAGAACACACTACATCTCTAGTTTTCTTAGTTCAGCTTGGTCTTGACAGTGCTGTGTATTGGCATTAGGGAACAGCTGTGAAAGAATTCCTCTGTCTTTATATAGTATGCTTTTGTGTAGTTACAAAAAGAGGCCTAGACAGCATTGTAACTGTCCTAGTTAGAGTAAACTGTTTAGTTTATTGATAAAGGGGGGAAAAAAACCCTTTATAAAGAGAGCCACAAGTAATAGTGGAGAGCTAGAAAAATTTGCTGCCAGGGATTTCATTGTCTAGTTTCGGTTTGTTTTTGTTTTTGTTTTTTGGTGGGGGGGGTCTTTTTGAAACAGGATCTCCCTGTAGTCCCAGATGGCCTAGAACTCTGGATATGTAGACCAAGCTGGTCTGGGTCTCACAGAGATCCACCCTCCTCTGTCTGCCTCTCCAGTGCTGGGATTAAAGGTGTGCACATCCATACCTGACTCCTTAAACCTTTTTTCTTTCTGTCATTCGTATCTCAGTTTTCACCTGCTTTGTGTCTGTGCTCAGCTTTTCTCAGACTGACCTTGCCATTTTCTTGTTCTCCAGTAATCTCAGCTCTGTCACTTCCCAGGGCTTGTAGTTTGTGATAGACCACCCAAGTGGAGGTATGTGACTATGGCTATTTCTACCTCACCACATTCATTCTTTTGAAATGTTCTGCCAGCTACCATGACAGTCCACTGAGGTGTCTTCAGACTTAAAGTCTTGCTTACCCCACCTCAGCCCCATCAGTTACCTGGTGTAGAACCAAGGACAACTTGTTGAAGACTGCTTTGAATGAGCTTGATCTAAATGAGAACTACAGTAATTGTTGCTAGTATCACCTTAGTCAAGTGACTAAGCCAGCTGTGAGTTTTGATATTTGTGGAAAGAAACACAGTTTAACCTAAACACAGTTTGGGTTAGAAAAGATCTCTCATCTCCTGGCTAAACAGTAAGCGTGCTCTGTAGTATCCTTTTGGAACTGGCATACTCTTCCCGGGCATCAGGTGCCTACGGCATATGTTGTAGAATTAGATGTGGAATAGAGGCTCTCTGTATGAGCATTTCTTGTGCCCCTGACAGAGGACTGATAGACTCAGACAGTGTCTAATGTTTCATTGCACCATCTGTGTTTCTTACTGTGATGTAGCCATTGATACATTCAATCTCGTTTCTCATTTTGCATCACCCATGAATGCCAGCAGGTTGACTTATGATCGTCTCTTGCATACTGCTTGATTCCAACCCTAACCTCGTTCATTTATCAGTTACACAGAATTCTTGATGTATGCCAAGCATTGTCCTGGTTACTGATGGTAACAGAAACAGTCCCAGTGTTCTTGTTGGTTACAGTTTGGGGCAGAGACAGACTTAGCTTTTCACTTACCCCTCAAAGTATTGCCTAAGGTTTGCTCTCTTTGAAAATGTATCTGCCTTCCTATACTGATGCTTCTCTTTTCTGACCTGTGGTATGTTTCATTTGCATCCATACAGAATATACTCATTGTTTCCTGTTTCATGTGCTGTGTTGTTCCATGTTGCTAGCTTAATGGGAACCTTCTTCCTTCCACAAAAATACCTCAATCAGCATAAATGTATCATGGGCATGAAGTATTTGCTTACCACGTGAATTCACTGATTCTACCTTCTGTGAGGCCTACGCACCAGCTATGACTAGCCTTAGATTGTCCATTGAACCTCTAGAGCCCTGGCCCTGCAGCCTCACTTTCTGTATTAGTTAGTTACTTTACATGTTGATGGGACAAAATACCTGACAAAAGCAACTTTAGGGAAGGGTCTGTTTGGCTCACAGTTCCAGGGTACAGTCCGTCATGGTGGGAAATGATGGCATCAGGAGCTAGAGATAGACGGTCACATCACATGCACAGTCAGGAAACAGATGAGTGCTGCTGCTCAAGTCCCTTGTCCCCTTTTTCATTCAGGGGCTCCAGTGCATGGAATAAACTAGTGCAACTCAAATTTAGGATGGGTCTTCTGCTTCATCCTAATCTAGAAACTTCCTCACAGATATTCCCATCAAGTTGACAATCAGGATTAGTCATCACACCTCATAAAACCATGTCATCTTGCACTTTAAAAGTTTAGAAACAACCTGGGCGTGATGACACACACCAGCACCGGAGGCAGACTGGGCGTGATGACAGTCCTAGCACTGGAGAAACAGGCTGGAGAATCTCTGGGTTCCAGGCCAGCCAGGACCACATAGTGAGACCCTGTCTACAACAAACAAGCAAACAAAACTCTAGTAACAAAAAGGTTGAGAGATGAAGGGCCAAAATGACAAGAAATTATTAGCTGAAGGGAAACTTCGCTGAGTCACTTTTCCTATGCCAGATGGCCTGGAACGCACAGAAATCCACTGTGTGCAGTGGCACATGCCTTTAATCACAGCACTCAGAATGCAGTGGCAGGCAGAGCTCTGTGAAATGGAGGCCAGCCTCCAGCCAGTGCTATGTAGTAAAACTGTCTCCAAAAATCAAAATGAAAAAGTTTAGAAACAAAGCCAAACATGGTGGCATAAGCCTTTAATTCCAGCACTCAGGAAGCAGAGGTAGATGGATCTCTGAATTTGATGTCAGCCTGACCTACATAGCAAGTTCCAGGCCAACCAGGGGTACATAGTAAGACTCTGTTCTCCCCATCCATGCCAAAAAGTCATCGTTGGAAGGAGGTTTTCCTTTGAGTACTAGACTCATTTCTGAAGCATCGTCTAGCACTTTTTCCTCAGTCGTGGACATTGATTCCTTCTGAGCAGCTCTATTGAAATGAGCTGGCTTGATTCTTTGTGTATTGGTATGAATCATTACAGTTTTGGGATGATTACAGTTTTGGAATGGTTTAATGGAAACAGAAGTGAATATTGGATCATAAAGAATCGGCCAAACTACAACCCCTTCCACCCTACCCGTTAGGATTGGTTTTCTAAACTGAAAATCTGGAGAGGTTAAATCCATCTAGGAATAAACTAAAATAGCTAAACTCATTGTTAGACCTTGGTTCCAGTTCTAGGCAAGAATTACGGTTATTCTAATTGTGGCTCAATTATTAAGAATTAAGAATAATGTTGTGTATAAATTTTTCTTTACCTTTTTATTTTTTATGGAGTGGGGCTGGATCAGCATTGGAATTTAATAAGAATGCAGTCAGGTCCTGTTTTATTTGCTTCAGCCATCACGATGGATGAAGACTTAAGTGTTCTATTTCTTCAGAGAGGGTCCTGAGACAAGACCAATCTGAAATGGGAGCTGGAGAGATAGCCCAGCAGTCAAGAGCACTTCCCGCTCTTCTGGTCTCTTCAGGCCTATGCACACACAGCAGGCACACAATAGATGCATACACACATACGTTTTTAATTGAAAAGAATCTGAAATGACTCAGTATTATACCTCTCTCCCTCACCCTCTTCCCCCGTTATTTTCTCCTCTCCCCTTACCCTCTTCTCTCTCCCTATCTTTTTTTTTAAACCTTTCAGAAAACCACAGCTTTTGGACCCTAAAAGGTCTGGATTGGTCATACTGCTTTCTGAAAGGTAAAAAAAAAAGAAAGAAAGAAATTGGGAGGTATGAAGGTTGGTTTTGGTGGGGAACAGTGGGTTCATCTTTATTTCATTTATTTCTGTACCAACATACACTGTTCACAGTACAGATAGTTTGGTGGTGTGTAGATACCTTGGAAGTATCTATTTCTGGCATTTGGGGTATCACTAAAAATGAAGTGTAATTATACAGGGAATTGGTTCCAGGATCCCTGTGGATACCCACATCCATAAATGCACATTTCCCTTTAAAAAGTAACATAGAGTCTTCATATTCTCTCATCTGTTGCTTGTTTGTGGGTGTTGGGGATTGAACCCAGGGTTTCACCCATGCTACACATAATATCCTACCTGGGCTTCACTTCAGCTCCCTCTCATATTTCCAATACATAATGCAATGATGCAATGTGACTAGTTAATTGCTATAATCTATTGTTTGGATTCTAAAGTAATAACAAAAAGAAGTTCTCTGCACATTCAGTACCAATGCAGGCACACACACATGTACTTGAATCAGTTAATACAGAGGGTCTACTTGTATAGTAGTCTGGAAAAATGTTATTTTTACTATTTGGAGGGGTGGTCTTTTTGAGACAGGGTCTCCCTATAGCCCCAGCTGTCCTGAAACTCACTATGTAGATCAGGCTGGCCTTGAACTCACAGAGATCTGCTGCCTCTGCCTCCCGAAAACTGGGATTAAAGGCGTGCGCCACCGCGCCCAGCTATTTTTAGCTTACAAAGATTTTTTTTTTCTTTTTTTCTTTTTTTGAGACAGGATCTCCCTGTAGCCCAATTGGCCTGGAACTCACTAGGTAGATCAAGCTAGCCTTGAACTCACAGAAATCCACCTGCCTCTGCCTCATCAAGTGCTGGGACTAAAGGTGTGTGCCACCATGCCCAGCTACAAAGATTTTTTTTTTAAGCTTGCTCTTGTGTAGCCTAAATTGGCCTCTAACCTACTGTGTAGCCAAGGATGAGTGAATTTCTGCTTCCACCTCCCTAGTGCTAAGTTTGGGGGCATATGTCAGACATCTGGTTTATATGGTGCTGAGGAACACGCCAAGGATGTCAGGCATGCCAGGCAAGCAGCCTACTGAATAAGCTACATCCTCGGCCCCCTTAAGAATTATTTGGGGTCTGGAGAAGGACTCAGCAGTTGAGTGCTTGCTTCTTAGCCAGGTGGGGGTGTGGCGGCACTTGCCTTTAATTCGTGAGGCAGTGGCAGGCAGATCTTTGAGTTCAAGACCAGCCTGGTCTATATAGGGAGTTCAGGCCACCTGAGGCTACATAAAGACCCTATCTTAAAAGACCAAAAAAAAAAAAAGTTCTTGCTTCTTTAGATTTATATATAGTATAGATTTATAAATCATTACTTTCTCATGACTTAACAAGATGTCAAAAATTTAGGGATATCATGGAGTTTCAGAATGTGTTTTATGAATGACTACCAAGTGCATTGTTATATCACTTTTGGGATGGGAGGGGGTCTTTTTGAGACAGGGTCTCCTTGTACCCCCAGCTGTCCTGGAACTCATTATGTAGACCAGGCTGGCCTTGAACTCACAGAGATCCGCCTGCTTCTGCTTCCCAAGTGCTGGGATTAAAGGCATGTGCCAACACGCCCGGCGTTATATCACTTTTTATGCTTATTAAGTCAACCAAAGCTAGTGGGGTCCTCCCATATGTTAGAGTGGCCTTCTTGCCAAGCCAGCCACCATTGCTTCAGCCTCCACTAACAGGAAAATGCAGAAAATAGATAATGAGCTACTGTTGGGTATTGATGTTATAAAATAGTACTTCCTGGAAACCAGGGAGTCAGGTTTTTTTTTGTTGTTTTTTTTTTCTTTTTTTTTTCTTTTTTTGCCATGAAAATAAAAGGACAAGTATATTTAATGTATCTTAAAATAAATTTAAGCAAACTAAAAACTAATAAGCCAGTACTCTGGAACATGAATTAATATTTCTCTTCTTTTTCTAGAAAGACAACAAAGTTGCTGCATAGTCTACAAACAAGTCTTTGAAAATAGGTGAATTTCTAGCTCTTCATGGTCCTGAAAATTGATTTCAGTCTTTGTGAAGAATGAAGAAGTGAATTTGCTGTATATCTGTCACCAGCACTGGGTTTTGTTTGTTTCTTTTTCTGCTTAATTCAGAAGATGCAACACAGTTACTTTGTGGGGGGAGGAAGGCTCGCCTTGAAAAGTGAGCACTAGATGTATTTGGAATAGCAGAAGGCTACATGATCTCTTACGTATAGTAAACTAAAGCCGCACTTCAATGGGACTCTTAAGTATTTTTTCATCACTGAAGGGATTTTTATTATCACTAAATTGTATTTGGCAATTGCAAGTTGCCTGCAGATAGGGCCGTGATACTGTGTTTTGAGCCACAGAAGGTTGTGTGTGTGTATGTGTGTGTGTGTGCGTGCGTGCGTGCGTGCGTGCGTGCATGCATGTATCTTTCTCTTTCTTTTTGGAAATCCTATAATATGAGGTAGCTTAATTCGTCAATTAGGGTGCTGGATGGTAGAGAATTTTGTCAGTCAACTATGTACACACAGGTAAATACTGTTTCTTAGGCAAAGGTAACTTTTTTATATAGTTGTAAAATTCCATTATATTCCATTGCCAAAGAAACATTAAGAACTTTGTATAGCTGTATAAAAAGCAACTAATTTTTTAAAGAATAAACGTTTTAAAGTCAGCAAATATACTGTGTCCTTGTAGACGTCCATGCGCTGAGGAACAGAGTTACGGGTGGGTCTTTTTTTTCCTTAGCTTTCCCAACTTAAGATTTTTGGTTTCTTTTTTAATGTTTGGAACATAAATTAAGATTTGATACATTATTCCATTATCTAAAAAGGATAAATTATTCATGCTCAGTGTATGAACTTCATTTTTGTGGGAAATTGCAGTCAGATATTTTCAGTGTATGAATGTAAATAATCATAGATAAGAATGTACCTAGCTGTATTTTCAGATAAGTAGCCCTCCCTTTTTTAAGTCATTAAAAACTAGGCATCAATGACCTGCTCTTCCTGCTATGCCTGGAATTTTGTGTGATAACATTGAGTTGTTCTATTATATTTCAAGACCAGTGAAAGTTTTCAGAGTTATTTTGACAACCTGTAACACATCGTTAACACAGTCTTTGGGCCGTGACCCACAAATGACTTGGTATACAGTTCATTGCTAATTATAAATCACTAATCTTTTTTGATATTTAAGCTATAGTGGGGGAAAAAAATCTGGCCACTTTGTGTTTTTAATGAAGGCCATGGAATAAAGGGATCCAAAGATTTAAATATTTTTATCTATTTTGGTTTTTGTTAACTTTCTCCTTAAAATATTCAGTAGTGATAAAGATGTAAGAAACTGCACTGTAGGAAGATTGGACTATTTAAGGATGGTTGATATTTTTTATTTTAATTTTGTATCTTTTGTATAGATCTACAAGGAAATGTTTTGTAATTTGGTTTTGTTATTTGAGATCCAGTACTTGGCAGCCATAGTTTACTATTTGCCTGCATGTTAGCAAAACCTTTCAGAGGACCCACAAATCATGATACTGAATACATTTCTGAGGCACTCTGAGCCTCAAAGTAAGCCTCTAGGGCAATACCCCAGGACTAAGATGTCCCTGGCTGGTTTCAAGAAGAAAAACTTGTGCTCTGACGGTATGAGTTCACATCTTTTCCCAGCCCTCTGGGTGACTGACTAGGATATTCATTGTCCCAGTAATAACTGGCAGTATGGCGTACCTACAGTGCACCTTACGATATTAAAGCAAGGTTTTTATTCTAAAGCAGAATAAAACTGTTCAATAAAAAATGCTCGTCAATGTTCTTTCTCTTGAATACTAACATTCCCTTCATGGAGAGATAATGCAAAGCATCCTTAAAATATGAGATGGAGCTTGGTGTGGTAGCCCACAACTATGATTTGTTTTAAGGCTAGCCAAGGCTTACATAGTAAGACCCTTTCTTGAAAAAGCAATGCTAAACCTGCCTTTAATTCCAGTACTTGGGAAGCAGAGGCAAGTGGATCTCTTTGAGATCCAAGCGAGCCTGGTCTGCATAGTTAGTTCCAGTCCAGCTGGGGCTACAGGGAGACCCTGTCTCAAACACACAAAAATAATAATGATGGGGCTGGAGCGATGACTCAGCAGTTAAGAGCACTGACTGCTCTTGCAGAGGAGTCTGGTTCTATTCCCAGTACCCACATGGTGGCTGACAACTCTGTAACTCCAGTTTCAGGGGATCCAACACCCTCTTCTGACCTCTGTGAGCATTGCTTGACACGGGTGCACCTACCTACATGCAGGCAATATACCCATACACATTAAATAAATATAAATTCAAAAAAAATTTTTTTAATAATTTAAGCAGGGCATGGTGGCAACACACCTTTAATCCCAGTACTCAGGAGGCAGAGGCAGGCGGATCTCTGTGAGTTCAAGGCCAGCCTGGTCTACATAGTGGGTTCCAGGACAGCTGGGGCTACAGGAAGACCCTGTCTCAAAAAGACCAAAAAAAAAAAGTCATTTAAAAATATAAGATTGAAGGGGCTGGAGAGATGGTTCAGCAGTTAAGAGTACTGGCTGTTCTTGCAGAGGACCTGGGTTCAAATCCCAGCACCCACATAGCAGCTAACAACTGTCTGTAACTCCAGTTCCAGGGGATCTGACAGCCTCTACTCTCCTCTGCGGGCATTGCATGACATGGGTGCACTTACATGCAAGCAATGCATGCATATACATAAAATAAAATAGATATATATGAGATTGGAATAGTGATAGCATGTGTATCCCTAATAACTAATCCATTTCTAACATTTATTTGTCCTTGTAGATGTTTAAGGGTAGCTAAAAGTCCTTCTGAGCGTAAGACACTTTATAATTAAGATTTTTGGCACAAGGAGACTAAGCCAGCCATACTCAACCCCTCAGTCTAGAATGCACCCCCTATGGACAGATAGATAAAGGCAGTACCAAACTTAGGATTCAGGTATAGCTCAAGTCAGTGGCAGAAGGCTCGCCTAGCATGCACAAGGTCCTAGGTTCAATCCTAGCACTACAAAAGTAAAGAAGATGCAAGACATGTCCATTTCTTCCTCTAAAAGGACTTAATATGGGAAATGTTAATCTAGTGTCTCCAGAAGGTATGCATGAGTGTGAGAAGTAGTGTTTGGCTGTCACAGTAGCCAAGGAGCATCACTAGTATTTAAGAGTTTAGGGTGGGAGCTGGAGAGATGACTCGTCTGTGCAGAGATCCTGGTTTCGTTCCCAGTACCCACATGGTGGCTCAGAACCTCCATAACTCCAGTTCCAGGGGACTCAACACCCTCTTCTGGCCTCCAAGGGTACCAGGCATGCATGCGGTATACATACATACAAGTAGGTAAAACACTCATACATACAAAATTTGTTTTAAAAAATAATTCAGGGCTGGGATGGTAAATGTCCATCACTGCTAGAAAGAACAATGTCACCCAGCTCTCAAAGCATAGTGATACTCCTTCTACTTCAAGAAATGCTGTCAACAGGGCATGGGGAAAAGGCTCAGTGGGTAAGAGTACTTGATATAAGCCAGGCATGGTGGTGCACGCCTTTAATCCCAGCACTTGGGAGGCAGGGGCAGGTGGGTCTACAAAGTGAGTTCCAGGCCAGCTGGGACTACAGGGAGACCCTGTCTCAAAAGGACCTAAAAAACAATATTTGATGTGCAAGCATAAAGACCTGAATTCAGGTTCCTGGCACACATTAAAAAAGCAGGCCGTGGCTATGTGTGCCTATAACCACAACATTGGGAGGGAGATAGCGAGTTTTCTAGCTAGCCAGCCTAGCCAAAACAAGAAGCTTTTAGTTTATTGAGAGACCCTGTCTCAGAGGAAGGTGGAGGGCTACAGAAAAAGGCACCCGATGTCCTCTCATGGTCAGTGGCATATCCACCCAAATAATGTGTGTGTACTACATAACCCCAAAGAAATACTGGCTATGGTTAGTATTTCTGCCAATTTTTAAAGTATTTGCGCTGGGCTTGGTAGCATACACCTTTAGTTCCAGCAGAGGCAAGTGACTCTCTTGAGTTTAAGACCATCCTGGTCTACATAGTTCTGGGCCGGTTGGGGATACAGGGAGATTGTGTCAAAAAAAGACAAAAAGCCGGGTGTGGTGGCGGACGCCTGTAGTCCCAGCACTTGGGAGGCAGAGGCAGGCGGATCTCTGTGAGTTCAAGGCCAGCCTGGTCTACATAGTGAGTTCCAGGACAGCTGGGGCTACAGGGAGACCCTGCCTCAAAAAGACAAGAAAAGACAAACTTTTTTTGTTGGTACTACAGCTTTCTGTGGGCTATAAAATGACAAGATACAAAGGGATCTTCCTTCTGGTAGCACTGTCAGTATTTTAGATGTAGGAGTTTCCACATCATCCTGTTCTGTCAGCTATTCAATAATCTCAAATAAGAATATACTAAGGAGTGAGGCGGGGGGGCTTGACAATGGGAATCCCAGGCTCCAGCCCCCTCCTCTGAGGGCCTTGGGAGTTGTCACAGTACGAGTATCTTACCGTTGCCCCAAATCCCATGTAGATCATTTTGAAACTTCAAGAAGCAAACAGGTTCCTGCTGTAGTCCGTGCTGGGATCACAAATGTCCGCCACCATGCCTGGCAGAAGAGTAACACTTCCTAGGACATACTCAGCTGGGGAGGTTGGCACTTCAGTTTCCTTGGGGGTTTGGCTGCTCTGGCTACTTACTGTGTCTTGGTTCTTTCCTAACAGAGGAAATGAGTGTGTATTAATCTACCTTGGCAAGAGCCTTCTGCAGGGCCCTGCATTCCCAGCATGAGCTTAGAAGCCATGTCTCCTTTTTCTGAGGTCTCTCAAAGGCTGGTGTGCTAAATAAAGGCTTTGTGTCCAGAGTGGTGGTACTGGGAGCTCTGTAGTTCACTCCTTGGGTATCCAAATGGGTACATTCTGTGTGTTATAGAATGACCCTGCCCTATTCAGTAATCAAATAGTTTATACTGTTGGATAGAGCATCATGGTATAAGGTAATCAAGGTGTCTTGCTAGAGTCCAGATTGCACTACTTGTTAAGACCAGTTTTAACAGCAAGTACTGGAAGTATTGCTCAGTGAGGAGCGATTGCCTAACATGCACAAAGCTGTGGGTCTGATCTCAGCACTACCAAAAAAAAAAAAAGACTCAAACTTGAGGTTTTGAAAGTACCACTACCAGGGGCTGGAGAGATGGCTCAGCGATTAAGAACACTGGCTGTTCTTGCAGATCTGGGTTTGAATCCCAGCACCCACATGGCAGCTAACAACTGTCCGTAACTCCAGTTCCAGAGACTCCGACAGTCTCTTCTGTCCTCTGCAGGCATTGCATGACATGGGTGCACTTACCTACATGCAGGCAGTACACAGATACACATAAAACAAAAATACTTTTTTTAAAAAATGGTTGTTCTTGCCCCGGGTTCGTATCCCAGCACCCATGTGGCAGCTAACAACTGCCTTTCCAGCACCACCCACATGGCAGCTAACAACTGTCCGTAACTCGCAGTCCCAGGGGAGTCAACAGCCTCTTATGACCTCTGCGGGCATTGCACTACATGGGTGCACTTCCGTACATGCAGGTAATACATACACATTAAAAAAAAAAAAAAAAAAAAAAGTACCACTACCAACCCCTGAATCAGTACGGTAAATGGGGGCTTGCCAAGCAAGCTGCCCTCCCTGTGATAGCTTCCTGGAGAAGGTCTGAATAGATTCAATGAAGTCACAGAGTTCTGTGGCTGGGTGGCCAGCTGCTGGTGTGTGCACTAAGTCCTGCAGAAGCTGTCTCAGCCTCCAAAGGAGTGAGGAGTGAGATAGAGGAACGCAGCAGAAGCTGTCCCGGCCTCCAGAGTGAGGAGTGAGGCAGAGGCACTCATCCTCCGTGTGCAGCCTGGGGTTAATGAAAAGGCTTGTGATTTTGCAGCATTGTGTAACTGGCTCCATGAGCTCAGGGTCAGACTGGCTCTGGTGGCATCTGTTCTTGGTGATGCAGACCTGTGAGCAGTTTGACTGGGTATCCTCTAAGCCCCAGCCCAGTACGTACTTAATATACTTGACCTGATAAAAATATTTTTAGGAGCGCTGGTGAGATGGCTCAGTGGTTAATACTGATTCTTGCAGAAGACCCGGGTTCAAATTCCAGTACCCACATGGCAGCTAACAACTGTCCGTAACTCCAGTCCCAGGGGATCCGACAGCATCTTCTGACCATCGCAGGCATTGCACAACACGGGTGCACTTATGCACATGGAGGCAATACACGCATACACATAAAAATAAAAAGGCCAGGCGTGGTGACACACACCTTTAATCCCAGCACTCAGGAGGCAGAGGCAGGTGGATCTTGTGAGTTTGAGGCCAGCTTGTTCTACATAGTGAGTTCCAGGACAGCAGGGGCTACAGGGAGACCCTGTCTCAGACAAAAAAATAAAAATAATTTGTTTAAAAACGTTTTAAAAAATGTATTTTTAGGTGTAAGTCATAAACCTACCAAAATAGACTGAATTTAATTCCAGGTTCTGATGAATGTTGATTTTTAAGGAAATGCTTTAAAATCTGCTGGTGTCTTTGTGGTTTACAGGGAAACAAAGCAGCTCTGTGAGGCAAAGGCACACTTCGCCACAGCAAGGCTGTCTCAGGGTGACTCATAGTCTCTCGTGCTTTAGGGACATAAAAGCAGTGCTCTCACTGTACTCTCTAGTACAGCCCAGAAAGTCTTGCCTCTCCTCCAGACTCTGGCATTCTGAGAGCAGAGAACACCAAGCTTGAAGGGTTGTGTGGAGCCTGGGCCCAGGCAG